TTTTTTTTTTTTACAGAGGAAATAATTTATTTAGGAAGTACAAAAAATACATAGCATTCACATCAGAAATATCAAAATAAGACTAAATTAAAGCTCATTTATCTTTAACTTTTAATCCACAGTCATTTTTCCATCCTCACAGGCCAGTGTTGCATCAGAAACAAAAAGTAACTGCATGTTTTTCCAGTGGTGTTTGTTTTCCTGCTGCGGTGTGATTACTTGTTGAACACACTGGCTGAGGGGTCTTTGGCAGCAGCAGGTTTGGTGAGGACCGTCTCTGTTCCTGACCTCACACCGCTGAACACAGAYGGAGCCACCTTACCCATCCGCTCTGAACACAAGAACAGACACACAACATGAACACAAAGACTGAACCTTGGACTTTGTCAGCGTGTCTGAAGCAAATATACGAAAGAAGAAAAAACACATGAAATAACTGTTTGGATTGTAGATTACATTTTGTTTTAAATTAATTCACTTATAAATCAAATTTAACTTAATTTGTATCATTTTAATAGAAATGGTTGCACATTTTGTAAAAAGTTTGACTTTGAAAAAGAATACAGCACTAAACAGACATAAATCTCTAATGAGCTAAACAGTGTTAAATCTGTAGATTAACATTCAAAACACTAATGTATAGAATTAGATGAACACACATTTTTTAGACTATTAAGTAAGAATTTATTTCAGRCAGTAATTATTCTAAATCTTATTCACATTTGGTTATCTGGTTTGAGGACTAGCTCAGTCAAAAACCTGACTATTTTATAAAAGTGGCATTAGATTCAGGTTTAAGAATAATTTCAGTGTTTGTGTATTTTTACATAAAAGTAAGAAAGAAAAAAGGCATGAACAAAGTTCCCTGACTGGGGGATCGAACCAGGCCTACAAGTTTTGTAGTCTACTCTAGTTTTGTCAGATGAGTTTGCTTTAAAGCTGTGCTGAGCTGAAGTATCTRCTGGGTGAACACGAGTAAAACAAGGCTACTTTAAAACTAATGGACCACTTCTAACCATTAAGAAGCTGCAGAAAGCCATTCACTAGTCCCTGTTTGTTTTTAGCACAGCAGCAGTCCCTGGTGGTCTAGTGGTTAGGATTCGGCGCTCTCACCGCCGCGGCCCGGGTTCGATTCCCGGTCAGGGAACAAAGTATTTTTTCTCTCTTTTGTTCATAAAATAAAAACACATTAAAAATATAAAACACCTGTACGTGTAAGAGCAATTCTGTGAATTCTGAAGAAATTTACAATGTTTTTTTGTCTTAAGCCCTTTCCCTGTCTTTTTATTTACAACTTGGCCTTTAATTCATATTCAAGTTTATATTTCTCAAATCACTYCCATCTGGAAGTATAAGTTGGATACACTATTTAAGTGCATACACCTAAACAAACAAAACKATTGAAATATTTCTACACAAAGTCAGTGTTTGACCTGATAAAGTCATTTTGCCTTACATTTCTGCACTGAAAACGTAACGACACAAATGAAAGACTTCACTCACCACACTCTGCCATGACCTCATACGTCTTACTCTTGACCTCGCCCTTCAGCCCCAGYTTACTGCGAGCTCCTTTCAGGTCCTCCTCCTTCATCGGTGGGCGCTTCTTCTTTTTCACTTCGCCTGKCTTCAGAGAAGAAAAACAGGGAGATCAGCAGCGGTTATGTTAAACAGTAGATCTGCACTCAAGCTCGAACAAAGTGTTTCCACCATGTAATTAAATCATGTGACGTAACGTACCTGTGACATGGTGGCTTCTGATTCAACAGGCTCTTTATAATGTAACTGATTGTTATTTTGCTCTGTCTGCCTCTTCAGTCAACCAGCCTGACATTATATATAGTCCTGTTCAGTCAGTCCCCCAAACACTGCTGTCACTCCCATCTGTTGTCAGTGTGTATTCTTAGTTGTGACGTGAGGGATGGTACAGCTGGAATGGGTCTCCCTTAAACATTCAGGCCAACAGCTGATCATTCATACCACTTGTGCGACTGGGCACAAAAACAAAAAAGTGTCCACTGCCCAGAACACCTCCCTGAATGGAAGGGTGGGGCTGATTTAAGCCAGAAATAATTCCTTTTTGGAGTCTTGGAGAATCATTTCCAGACATTTAACATGTCGACAAACAAAACCTGAACCAGAGTTTAAGGAAAAATGCACAGCAGTCGGTTAAATCTATTATCAGTTTTTTATCTAATAATACTGGCTAGGTTTATTTTAGTAAAGTTTGTATAGAAAATATTTTTAGTTCTCTTGGTAAGTCGATCATTAAATCAAAACAAATAGGCACCAGTTAAATGATGGAAAAACAGTCAATGTTTCTTTAAACTGTGGCCTGGTGGGAATCTGATGTCAAAGGTACAGTAGCTCACTCTTTAAGCAAATGTGTTACTCTTTTATGACATCTTAGATCATTACTGAGAAAATAAACACACAGACACAGCCCCTTTGGCTTCACACAGCTTTAACCCACATCCTAAAATAAAACATTTAAAGGTCTTCATTAATAGAAGATACAACCTGTCGTTAAACCCCCACATTAAAAAGCTTACAACACAGTATCACTGCAGTTAAAAACATCTTGTCCCAAAATGATACAGAAAAACTGATCAGTGCAGCCTACTTATTCTGGACTACGGTAATTCTTTATTATCTGGGTGTCAATTAAAAAGTCTTCAGATGATCCAAGATGCTGAGTTTTAATGAGTTGGAAGTAGGGTTGGGCATAATCGTATCGTGTGTGATTAATCGTCAGAAAAACATTAATCGATTAATTTTTGGCACTTGATGATTAATACGATTAATGCCAACAGGCAGAATCCGCTCGCTGCTCCTCCCAGCTTCAAATATGACGAACATTAAAAAAAAGTTCTGTAATTTATTTTTCTATCAGTACAATTTAAAATTTGATGTATAACCTGAAGTCTGTAATTTTGACACAATTTGGAACAGATTTTTATGAAGAGCAAATCTTTCCCACTAAATTGGTCATGTGACTATGAAATAAGGGT